ACGTCATCCCGCCACATTCCAGCCTTCCACCACCGACACCAGCAAGGGGCCCAGAGACGCTGCAGCCAACACCCCCATGCTGCCGAAGACTGCACCGCTCCCCATACCATCAGGTAAGTGCCCGCCACTCAGCGAGGTATCCGGGATCCCTGGACTACAGCCCCCAGTCCCCTACCCCTCCAATGCTGCCCCTGTTGTCGCCATCTCATGTCCACAACAGGGGCTCACGCACACTCCAGGTTATTACACCTTGCCACTGCTGTACACCAGGGGGGGCCACCATCTGGCGCCTACTCACGTGCAGGAGGATGGTTGCCTTCCCTGAGTGATGGAAGGGAACCTTGGCCAGAAATCGGGTGGGGGTCCGATAGGGAATCCCTGTAGGCACTGCAGCAGGTAAGCCTGGAGTAGGTCCCAATGCCTAGCAGGGTAAGGCTCAGCCCAAAGGCAAACAAACATGAGCCCTAAAAATAACAAACATTACGATGTCCCTGTGTAGCCGGCGGAAACACAAAAAAACTGACTTGGGATGGAAGGAGGAGTCTATTTATTTAATGTGGTTGATGTGTTTCCTGTTGCAGGCAGGCGGAGCCTATATCTCGATGGCTGTCCTGGAAGATGACTGGGGAAAAGCTGAGGGTAACAAGCAGTTAAAGTACACAACCAAATAGAGAGGGCGGGTCCTGTGTCCTTCAATGAACGGAGAGAAAAGGATTTTACTGTGAGTACAAAAATACATAATTCCCCAACAAAGGGCGACTTGCGACCTTAGCCAGCATCCGCAGATGCCAAAACATCCACTGCTATCTTTGAGTGTAATGTCTAGGGACACTGTGGTCCAAGTCTTTTTTTTCGATGAGTCTTCTATGTTTGCCAATTATCTTACGTAGAGGGCGTATGATTGCTCAAATATGAGGCTTAATGTAGCTCTTCCAATGCATTTCAATGCAGATGTTCACATCTTGCAGCTCAATGTCACCTGTAGCTCGAACATGACCTATTTTTCATTGGACTTCGAGCGATTTGGCCCCAATAAACTTTGACTGCTAAAAGAAGCGCTACGTAGCTGGACAAAATGCACATTGTAGCTCAATGTCGCTCAGCTTAAATCAGCGCCGAAAAAGCACTTATTTTGTTCTAGTTCAGTGTGAAAGGGGTCTTAGATGGGTGGAGAAAGCTTCTTGAATTAGTCGTTCTGGATACCCTTTTTCCTTAACTTTATCTAGAGGGAGGGTGCTTGGTGATATGTAGTCAGAGACTTGTACAAAGACTCCGACTACATATCATCAATGATTTACCTCATGATAATAAGGTTGGGTGTTTTCCCTCCTTTTCATTTTACTTTGTGTACCTTGATGCTATGTAGTCGGAGTCTTTGTACAATTTCTTTTGAGCCTACAGAATTGTTTCTCCATAATGTTGTGCTTCCGCCTGGGATGATGGCAACTGTTGAAATGCAAATAGGAATTACCCGGTCGGTTTACATGATTTCTAGTGATAATTTGACTGTAGGCTCAAAAGAAATTGTGCAGAAGTCTCTGACTACATATCACCAACCACCCTCCCTCTGGATAAAGTTAAGGAAAAAGGCTATCCAGAACAACTAATTCAAGTAGCTTACTCCACCCATCTAAGACCACATTCACACTGAACTAGAACAAAATAAGTGCTCCAGTTTTGTTAAATTCATCCCAAAGAGTCTTTTCCATTCAAACAAAAACCTATAGCAGAAAGAGAAGACACTAATCGAAACTAAGCAGATGTGAGGTAGGAGGGGTTGCTGACCTTCAGTTTTCTATGTGCCAGTGTCCATTTTTCCAGTAGGCAGCAGGTTGCTTAATCATTAAGCTGCCTCCCTCAATGGACAATATAGAAAAAGGATTTTGTAGTAAGTCACATCTTTTGGAGAAACTTACTACCAGCAACAGAAAATCGCCCGCCATTTCTGCCCTAGTAATAAAAGCTTTTAGGAATGATCTAACAGACTTTGGGCTTGGTTTCACCAAGTTAAATACGGCTTAGGTAAAAACGTTTTCAGGTCAAATAACTAATGCGTTCTTTAACTCTTAAATATACAATTCACTAAAGTCTGAGTTATCGAATGAGATATTTGCTGTATTTAAAATCGGCCTCATTCAGGCTTTTTTTCCCACTTATTTTTTTTTCACCAGGGGGCACATTGGTGTCGTCATAGCAACCATAATATAAAAAATTATGCCAAGGCATGTAAAACGCTTTTTTTTGGTCCCCCTGCCTGCCTTCAGGGTGGCATTCTTCTGTGTAGCCTCCTTTGGATGAACATATATTTTAGCAATGTGTTTTCCCAATACATCCATTGCCTCAAATTGGTGGTTATGAACACTGCCACAGCCATGTACTAATTACCTCATATGGGTTTTTTGGGGGGTGAATTTTAATGTTTTTCATGTGATAATTATCTTTTTTGTGTGTTCTCACGTCCGTTAATTTGTTTTTAATGAATTGACCCTTTTCTTATGTAATATTTCACTAAAAATGGTCACGTGGCCATATCTCATACGATAACGTTTAGGGCCTGTTCACACGACGTCCGTTTTGTGTGCTGACCAGCTCCGTACGCTGCTGCACTCAAAATGCATCCCAATGTATCCCTATGTGTTTTATGGGCTCCAGTTCTCACGTGCGCAGTCCGTTCAGCTTACGACAGAAAAAATTTGCCGGTCCGGAAATGCATCAAAAACACACTGCACTGCTGCTAACATACTAACAGGGGGGAAAAAAAAAAAAACGCATCAAAAACGCACTGCATCAGTCTGCAGATCCGCACCTGATCTCATGTGAACAGGCCCTTAGTGAATTAGGCCTTTTTTTCTGCTTAACCAGACATTCAAACACACCTATGAGCAAAATTTACATGGAATACACTTAATTTCTGAAGATATATATATAATCTTTATTAACATAAAACTGAATATTTAAAGCAAGATCTTTCATTTGAAAATTACCTGTCAGCAAATGAAAGTTTAAATACACAGATTAACCCTTGTCATCTAACGATGCAAGTAACAAGCACCCAACTCAACTTCTGCAAAATGAATAGATAAAGTAAAAAGACTGCAAGACAGGTAAAAACAATACACTTTTATTCTAGAAGTTGCAAGTAGGTATCAAAATGAAGAGGCGGCAAAGGAAATGCAGGGTGCATAATAAACAGGCTTAAAGAGCTGGTGGTATGGAGGATGTTAACAGGTAGAGCTATGAGCCAACTATACACAATAGGCAGAAAGGGATTGTAGGGAATTTAGAACACTTAAGAGTCTTCCTCATTTGCACTGTCCCCTTCATCTTCTCCCTCCTCTGTTTCTTTGTCACCATCTTTCATTTCTTCAAGCTGATTTGACGAGAAAAAAAAAAATGCAGAGTTTCAAATATATTATTTATTGCACACACTGTACAAAAACACATTTAGAGAAAAAAAAAAAAAAACCTTCAGGTCTCTGTTCCCAACAATCCCTTTTGTTGCACACGTTAGGAGCTGGCCTTCCCAATCATTTTTTTTATTCTACATTAGTGAAAAGAAAATCTAACCTCAAATCCGGATGCTCATTTGCCAAAATGTTTCATCAGGTTCACCTGTCCAATACACTAGACAGCTGTAATTTGGATGGCAATGGCTTTCACAAAGGTAAGCTCAAAAAGAGTCACCAAGAGATGGCTTTTATTCATGCCTGCAGTCTGTACTGTACAACCCTTGCCATTATCTTTCATCAAAATGGCTGTAAAACAAGTATTATAAACAGTTCTTTGTATACTCTTCCTGGTTAAAAACAAAAAAAAAACCCTATTCTAGGTTTATATATCTGGGAAATGGGAAAAAGTAAAATAGGTATTATCCCAATTTGACTGCAAAAGTAGAAATAGCCAGGTGTGAGAATCTGAAGCAAATGTTTGGCTATAAATACATTTTAAGAAGGGGAATGTTTCCTGCGGGCTTTGTGTATCATTCTGTATCTACATTGGCTACAAGTCAATCTCCTCTGTCGTTTGTCAACTGAGAAACTTAAAAGGCATTGATGAAGACGAATGTTATCATTTTCATTGATAAGACAAATCAAATTAACAATAGATTGGTTTGAAGAAAAAAAAAACAGAAGTACTAACCACATCTTCTCCCTGCTCGTCATCATCAAGTAGGTCTCCTTCTTCTCCAGAATCTCCTCCTTCCTCTGGAACCATCTTAACACCGGTTTCTTCCTTCTTTACAGAGCTTCCACCCTGTTCTTCATCTGCTTTTGTTTCTAACGAAAACATTATTTTTTTTGCACATGTGAGACAAATTTTTCCTCAAATATCCAAAGCAAAATCAAGACTAATCAAAACATGGTACCTTTATTTAAAGTAAACCTGTCACGACAAAAATGTAGGCTGAAACAAAAGACCTTTTTGCTGCACAACATAAACTGATCCTCCTGCTTCAATACATTCGGAGTTACCAACCCAGAACAAGCATGCAGATCAGAAGTCCAAAGTTCTTACCTGCATCCTTGTTACAAGTCATTGACTTAATGTAGAAAGAGGGTCCTAATGAGAGAAGGCAACTAGCACTTTCAGAGGGAAGTGTCAGCTAATGCTGCCTTCAGTCATGATTTTAGAGACTTTGCACATGTTAAGCTGTACATACTGGAAGCCTAAATCAGGTTTAAAGTGCTCTTTTAAAGAAGGAATGAGCCACCCCAGGTAGATGCAGCTTATCTTCGTATGTCAGACATGCTGCTTTCTACAATTGATGCAATGGTGACAAAGCAGATAACTTGAACAGTCACTGGAATTGCACAAATTCATGAGTATGTTTCTTACTAGCCTGAGGAAGGCCCAAGATATTTCTAACTACATAAAAAATAAAAAAAAACACTGGTTCTCGCAAGGTCAGTGGGGTTTTATCAAGCAAATGTGGCTGTGCTTACAGAAAAACCCAATCTCTACATACAGAAAAGATACTGTAAACAGACAGACGGTTCCAGCACCATATTTTTGTTTTAAACTTGCTCATTTGTTTCAAGAGCACATCAAACACTGGCAGCTACATTTAAAACTGCTGAATTCATAAGCGGGTTTAAAAAAAAAAAAAAAGCCCATAATAAAACTTTAGAATTGGCAAATTACAGACAACCCAAGTGGGGTTAGAGCTAGAGGTGGCTATCAATTCGGGGAAAGTAAGAAAATTTACAGGCTGACCTAAGAAAAAGGAAAGATTAGTGGAATCCCATGGATCTCCTATAAACCCTCTGGCATTAAACAAGCACTGTTGCTCTTCTGTTTTAACACAGTATGGTTCAAAACAGAAGCGAATTAGGTGAAAAACTAAATAACCTTTATGTACAGTAACTGCTGACTTTTAGAGAGAATTGCCAATTCAGAAATGATTATTCTAATGCAATATTAAATCACTTACTACCAAGACATTACTCACCCTGTTTAGATTGCTCATGTTCAATTCGCTCCAAGCTTTCCAGGAGAGAGTCTACTCTCTGTTTTATCTGACTGAGCTCCTTTTTGATGGTCTGCAGATCCTCTCCCTTCACTAAACAAAGAGTGGGGAGTTACAGGCTACCCTATCAGATTTAGAGCTAGAGGTAAGGGGGCTATCAGTTCAGGGGAGCAAGAGAATTACAGGCTGATCTAAGAATGTGCTAGTGTGTGACTGTGTCTTTGCAGATAAGCGCAGTAAGGTGGAAGCAAAAGATGCCAATCCATCAGTATGCTGAAGGAGTGATTGGAAACAGGCATGCATATGGCAATATGTTGGATGGGCAAACATTTTAGTGGAAGCCCATACACCTCCTATGAATCCTGTCTGACAAAAATAAAAGACAATATTGCCTCCATTGCTTTTAAACATAGAATCATTCAAAACAGAAGATAATTAAGGAGGTTGCAAAACTAAAATACCTTTATGTACTACTGACTTCTGGAGGGAATTGCCATTTAGGAATTTATGATTCTAATGCAATACCATATCACTTACTACCAAGACATTACTCACCCTGTTTAGATTGCTCACGTTCAATTCGCTCCAAGCTTTCCAGGAGAGAGTCTACTCTCTGTTTTATCTGGCTGAGCTCCTTTTTGATGGTCTGAAGATCATCCCCCTTCACTAAACAAAAGAGAAAAAGGTGAATCTAAAAATCACAGAAAGTACCACACATTGTGGCATCCAATTGTTGTCCATCTCTAGCATTAAGAAATCTGGTAACAGAGTAATGCGCAATTAAAAGGCACAAAAACATTAGTAGATATAGAATTTTAATTTAAGCAGAACAGAGCAACCACTGAGCTGTATTGGGTAATAGCAAGCAATAAATTGAGTCCAACTGAAGATAAAATCTATATCATAACATTATCATGGGAAATTCAAATCCATCTTTATGCTAATGACCTGTCCAATATGTAAATGAATGAAGCAGCATTTTGTGCAAAAGACTAATAATGACTTATTTAACTCATATTCTAAACTGGCCACCATCATTTACACCTTGACAAGAAACTTACACTTGCTAGACTTGGATGATCCACCCCGCTGACCGCTCTTGGAGTTGAAACTCTTTCCACGACGTGAAGTGTTTCCAGAAACCCTCTGACGCTTTGAAGGTACCACAGCTCGAGCAATAGGCGGTGGTGGGGGTACTCTGGCTGCAGTATAGCTGTAAACAAAAAAGTATTTATCATTAGCACTGTTTGAAGAAAATTCAGTTTCAACTCGGTCTATTAGTATGCATTTACCTCTCATAGTAGTCTCGCTGAAAATCATAGTCCAGTTCAAATGAAGATCTAGCAGAAAGAAAACATACGGAATGTTAAACGGCTATTAAAGAAAATGTGCACGGGAATAAAACAGATTGACTAACTGGGCCATTGTAAAGCGGTACAAAACACGCCCCTTTTATAGAGCTATACAATGTTTTGGACACTATTGTACAAATATGTGCTACTTTTTTCTTTTGGATACATTAAAAGTTTATTTCTGAAAAAAAGAAAAATTTACTCACCCATACATATCAGCTGCTGACCGTTTGATTGCTCCCTTTCCCCTGTTGGCTTTGGGCTCTGCCGCAAGGTTGATGTCTAAAATGTACAAGTCAGAAATGGGGAAAATGTACAAGTGGGGAAGATACAAATCAGTTTTCAACAATTGGTACATTTTAACCCAAGAACGACAAAGCACACCCATTTCTATAGGACTAAAATCCCCTAATGTGGGTAGCTTGAAGTTTAAAGCTACTTTATAAAACAATCTTTTCAGTCCCTTACCCAGGACTTGTCCAGCTATCATGCGTCCGTCTTCTCCTGCTACAGCTGTACGGGCAGTGCGCTCATTGTTGTACTGTACAAATGCAAAACCCTTGTGTACGGAACAGCCCACAATTTTGCCATATTTAGAAAAGATTGCTTCTACATCCGCTTTCTTCACCACTAACGTGTTTAGGTTCCCAATAAACACTCGGGAGTTCATAGAACGGGGATCTGTTTTATTAGTGATGTTGCTGGCCATCATTTTCAAACCCTACACAAAGAAGACCTATAGGAAAAGAACAACTATTATGAAACGCAAGATACAGCACCAGGAAATCTATCAAGTCAGAAACGCAAGGCCAAAACAGGTATACCTTTTACACAATGATGCCCATTACCAATAGAATATATAGTTCGGCTAGTTTTACATCTGCATTATACTCAGAATAAAAAAGTGATATTAACCCTTATTTATTTTTATTACTAGGGAAACTGAATTTATATAGAATTTTTAAAAAAAAATCCTTTAGATCCTAATTTTCTCGCCACAACTGCCTCCATCAGCTAAGCGGTTACTGTGGAGGCACCCCTGCATGCTCGTTCACAGCCATGCCCACAGTGGTTGTGCGTGTCCATAGGCGCACACAACCTTGCGACAGGCCACGTCCCTCCTCTCCGCCCAGCAGTTTGACTGACAGCATAAGGAGCCTACGGCTTCTCTGCCATCAGTATTCTCCCCCAGAACCAGGAGGTTCGTGACCGTAGGATCGCTGCGGGGACCGGGGAGTCTAAAAGGTACTGGATGTTTTTACCTTAATGCAGGAAATGCATTAAGGAAAAAAAAAAAAACACAAAAAAAAAAAACACCCAACCTTTAGTAATACTTTAAGACATTTCTTTAAAGTGTATATAGAGCCAAAACCATTTTTTTGCCATTCTGGAGAGAAAGTAGGGAAGGTTTAGAACCTGTATCAAGCTTTTCTGGTCAATATTCTGACAAGTAAGATTCTCCGTGTCACCATTTTAACCAAGAGGGGAAATCCATTATTCTGTAGTTGTTAGAAGTAAGGGCGAGGGACCAATCCTAACATCTTACACCCCATATTCTGTAGTGGTCTAAGGACCCGTAAATCACCACATCTATACAGTGTATATACGTGGGGAGGCTGAGGAAGATTCAAATGCTGTAGGGAGAGGAAGACAGGCTGGAGGGAGCGCTACAACAGCTGGCCGGCTCGGGGCTTTGGGCGAGTATAAAACTGTTATTTTTGCACCTAGACACAAGCGAGCAGTGCGGGGCTAACCTGGAGTGCTTCTTTAAAGCCCACCTAAAGTCTCGTAACTTTTTTTTTTCCTGCACTGCTCTAGGTTGTGGATTTTTACATAAAAGTTTCTCATTGGTATTGCACTTCCTGCCGCTTCAGTCTAGAATGAGTTCAGCATCTTTACACCACGCCTAGGACGATCACAGAAGATTTGGCAGTGCTAGGCTGAGAACACTGATAAAAATGTCACAAGCATCCTCACATAAATATGAAGTGCTGAGGAACAGAAAGGGGTTTGTCTGACCGTATGAAGTGCACTGGGCATCATGGTCAAAATCTGGTTGTCTTTTATACTGGGCAGAGGTTATAGCAGAAAACAATAAGGCACGAGTATAACCACTGAAGCTGTCATTACAATGAATATCTAGATCTGTGACTTCAGAGCTTTAGGTTAGTATTCAGACTAGTAAATTATGAAACATGACATGTTCACTTTTGTACTGCTACTAGATTTGTAGTAAATAAAATAAACTTTCCCATAGGTACTTGCATGAAAAGCTGCAACCTGCTTTAGATCCGAACCATAAAAATACAGTTACCCCTTCTCTTATGAGCCCCCCCCCCTTATTTTAAAATAACTTCTCCACTAACAAGACATTAATAAATCATACGCTTATGGTGCAGAAATTTAAAGTGGAACTCCAGGAAAAAATAGTTAGTGACATTTGCTGTGTACCAATAACCTGCCTCTAATGATGGGTGCTTCATGTGTGGATGCTGCGTTAAGTAAAACTCATAGTTTCGTTCATCCTAAAAACTGTAATCCCTGCACTGCCAGCTCTGTAAATCACATACACTCAAGACATGTTATTTGCTCTCCCCGTTCAAACGTCTTGTATTCTTTTCGCAGAGTACACAATGTTTTTGAATGGAGTAAACGCCCATCAAATATTTTCCCCCGGAGTTCCGCTTTAACTTTGATCATTCTTTTTGCGTTATCCGCCTTAGCATTTTATATCCGAGTAGGCTTGAAAGCAATATCACCTTTTCAATTGAGCTGGATCAAGCCCAGACATTCAGATATAAATTGGCATGCGGAGTACAACTACATCTAATAAAGATGTCTGTTCTCACTTGCAGCAATGCTTCAGATAAAATGTGATTTTGGCAGTCCTGGCACAGCTAGCAAGCAGGAAGTAAGTCTTTATACACCAAAATGTAATTATACATCCACATGATGTATACAAAGAGCTGAATGCAGTTTATTTTACCTTATTAACCAGCCTTACCATGCGTCAGAAGAATGGAATGCCAGAGGTCTTGCTCCCTTCTTTGATGCTGGTTGTCAGCGGTGGGGCAAAGGAACGGGGTACGGAATGGGGAGGGGCAGGGAAGGGGCCTAAATGAAGGGACATGGACTGGCAACTGTCAAAAACGCCACTGCCCACAAGTGGTAATGCACAGTAGGAAAACATTGCAAAGGGTTCCAACAGTTTTACTAGTAACAATACCAAAACCTGTTAAGTCATATGCAGTTTAATTCCAGCTTTAAACAAAGCAAGAAAAATACTGACAACTACACATAGCAATGGGGAGAAAAACGTATAACCTGGACCAAAAATGACGGATTATGCATTTTGAAAAGGATAGAAAGACTCTCCTTCCCAATCCAACCCCCACCAGGAAAAAAAAAATAAAAAATAAAAAATAAAAATAAAAAAACATTGAGAAAAATCAGCATCAGAACCAACATTTATACATATAAATATAAAAACAAAAACTATAAAAACTAAAAATTAAAAATATCAGAAATACAGCAATGTTAAAAAGGAGACCAGTAAGGCAGGAACTTTTTTGAAAAATAAAAATGAAAAAAACAATTTTTAAAAAACACATGAAAAGCGAGACTTACTGTAGTTGATGTTTCAAAAAAAATTCTTCGCTGTGAAAAAAAAAAGGGGAAAAATTATGAAAATAATCCAAATCAGAAAAAATGAAGAGTACGTTAAAAAGTCCATTTAAAAATTCTAGCTATTCTTAAAAAATTGTAGCATGTCATATCAAAGTGTCATTTATCACCATCAGGTAACACACCCCAAAAATTCTGCATTGAAGGGATGGGAGAGGGAGGGTGGGGGGTGGGGAGGAGGTGAAAGGCTGTTCATAGGACTTGACAAGTGCAACATTTTGTCCTTCCGTGTCCAATAAAAATAAAATTCACAATGATGACTTGGCTGGTATTTAAAATGGAGGTTTGTAGGCTCCTGGTGTTCAGCAAAACCTCACTGTTATAGAACAATTTAAGTCCCTTTCGCTTAAAAATAACTGAAATGCTACATGTGCAATTTGAAAAGACTACCCTAGAGGAAATGAGGAAGGGCAAGGAGAGTGGTCGTTATTTAAATTCAGCCAGAACAGGTCAGGGAAGGGTGGAGGGGGAATTTGGAGAACTGCTCAGATCTCTGTCCTGTGGAAAGGAGAAGGGGAGAACAGTTTCAGATTGAGGGAAACTGGAATGAGGGATAATGGGATAGGAGAAACAAGCCACCAACAAACATGTAGCATTTTCCACCACTCAAACACATGCAAAATGATTTCCAACCAACTGTACTGTGCTCATTTCGTCCCAGATACTCTTAAACCGTCATGAAAGAAAGAACAGGTACCACTGTAATTGTTATGTAAAAAAATTGAGATGTATTAAAATGCTCATCTACCCCCACCCGCTTCCCAGGGTTCTTTGAAGGGTCAATTCCTCAACAAAATATAGCTATTTATACGAAATGCATATTAAAGTCAAAAGGTTTAAAGGTGATGTCAAATGCTGATAAAAGCATTTACAATGGATGTGGCTCCTTAATGTTGAAAAGTTTTAGTTTCCTACAGAATCCACTTTTCCTCTTAGCACTGGCCCTGATATCCTGTTTTAGGGTGGCTACTTTCCCTTGCAGGGTTCTATGAAGCCACCCTTGTGTGCGCTAGTAAGATATGCATCACTTCAAGGCACAGCAAGACAAGATCCACCTCTGCCATCTCTAGAAACAAACTGAAGTTTCTCTCCAACAATTACCTTGTTATCTGGACCCATCTTACCACTTTGTAAAAGAACATTTCTGTCTAAAGGCAGTAGAAGACGGCAAGGTGCATCTCACATCAAAAACAAATCTTAACATTCTCTTGCATGTTCCAGGGCACTTGAAAATGTAACTTCTAGGTATGGTTCACACCAGCAGCTGCGTTAGAAGGCACGGTGTTGGGGGAGATGATTTGTTTTTGCAAACTTTATTTAAAATTTAACAAAGTGAAACTTCCTTCAGTACTAGCAAAACAACCTTAGTGGTTAGACAGGTTTTTTTGCATGCTGGCTGGCGAGTGTGCTGGGAAACTCTTTGCTGCTGTTCCTTCAGTACTATTCACTGCATCCCAACATGCTACAGTGAAAACATTTACTGCATTTAGTACATGTTGTCAGCACATACACTTGTATAATCCAGACATGTCAGTGCAGCACTGGATGAAGGATGCAAGGATCTGTCAGAAGGCCAGAAACTCAATTGGCCTTTTATACACACACACACTGATTACACGCAAACAGATCACAGGTGAGGATGGTTCCCTTTAATAGTCATTCACACCCCTTTGTGTCAACCTGTGTGCATGTTATCAGGCCAAAATCACCAGGGTATGTAAACTTTTAATCAGGGTCATTTGCAGGGCTTGAAAAATCCACTCGTCTTGTGCCGAGAGGACGAAGGAGCCCGACGGGCAGCTTCCCGGCCGGTCGGCCGTTGTAATTACACGGCCGGCCGCTTTACATTTAAGCGATTGAGCTTCTCAAGACGCCCGATCGCTTGTATTACCAGCAACTGTCATTGCCGGTCCCCGAGATCCGCTGTGCCCGGCCGGGAATGGCACGGCTCGCTCTGTGAAAGGAGATCAGTACACGATCTCCCTTTGATCTACTCTCCAATCCCAGAATGCAGGAAGTGATGTATATTACATCACTTCCTGCATTCAGTGTCACTTCCCAGCTACAGAAGCTGATGAAGCAGATCTCTGCTTCATCAACTTCTCTGGGGGTCCCTAGGTGACATTAGGGGTCTTGCAGACCCCTGATGTCTTCATAAAGAGGACCTATCATGTAAATTGGCTATCACATAGGGGGCTTAGCCCTCCCCACCCATGTGATAGCAATAAAGTTGTGTAAAAAAAAAAAAAAAAATACAAAAACATTAAAGTATCCAAAAAAAAAATGTTTTTTTTGAAAAGTCCTCTGCCCCCCCACATACACATGCAGATATGATATGCGTCGGGTGACCCTACGTGCAAAAACTATTGCACCTATTGTGCCGCACATGTTACATATCACCACGAACGTCGGAGCGTGAGCAATAATTTTAGGGCCATTAATCACTGATAACACTACACTGATGAGTGGTAAAAGCGTTTTAAGCGTCGCCCATGGTCAATTTTCAGTGTGGTCGTTTGTTGCGATTTTGCGGGCGCACGCAATTTTAAGGCTTGACCTGTTTGGTGTCTATTTACCCGACGTGACCCCCGTCTTTTATATTTTACCAAAAATATGGGCAAGAACAGATGTTTTATAACGTAGGGAAACTGTTTTCTTTAATTTAATGTACTTTTTGCATTATATAGTAAAAAATAATCCCCCCAGTGGTGATTTTATATACCACCAAAAGAAAGCTCTGCCCCCAAAAAATGTTAAAGTGATATTAAACCCTCGGATTTTTGAACATAAACCAATACTGTAATGTGTGCCTTACTGTAATCCATGGTTGTTTCCCTTCTCTTTGCTGCTCTTCCTTTTAAATCTGTATCTCTTCTCATGCTGGGCAGAACTTCCCTTTGCAGCTGAGGGCCTCTTCCTGTAGTGCTGGCTCAGGCTGCAAACGTACACACAGACACCATGTAACCATTCCAGAGACAAGGCAGTCTGCTGCAAAACAGAAGTTCTCCCCAAGTATGAGAACAGATACAGATTTAAAAGGAAGAGCAGCAAAGAGAAGGGAAACAACCATGGATTACAGTAAGGCACACATTACAGTATTGGTTTATGTTAAAAATCTGAGGGTTTAATGTCACTTTAACATAAATTGCAAGGCTATAGTCTAGTCATGCTGACATGTTTGACTGGTAAGACACCCTAAAATGTTTCAAGTCCTGGTCATTTGGGTAGTTTCTGTTATTGTGATTGGAAAAGAGTAAAACACAGCCAAACACTACCCATGAGTGATAAAAGAACGTTTTCGTGTTATCATTCATATTCTCTGAAAAATGGCCAGGAAATCATAAATTCTGCCAGGGTATGGAAACTTATGAGCACAACTGTAGAACCGCAACACAGTGGGATGAACTGCCTTCACTGTATACAAGGCCATTTGCCTTATTTATCCATTAGAACAGCGCTGGGCAAGGGTGCCCAGAGCACCTGAACAAATCTGGTGTGACTGGGCCCTAAAGGAAGGTTCACACCATTTTCCAGACCAGATCTGGTCCAGAAAATGGTGTGAACCTGTCCGCAGTTCCAGTGCATTCCAGACCAGGTAAAATGAGACATGCAGTATTTTTCTGGCGTGGAACGGACTGCACTAGTGTGAACAGAGGCCAGAAAATAGCATAGGGATACATTAGGATGCATTTTGGGTCCGGGAAACAATCTGGTCTGCAGATGATCTGGATGTGGTGTGAATGGGCCCTCAATCGGTGACAGGTAGCCAATGCTCCTTCAAAATTACAGAAGACACCTGCCTTACTTTCGAGGTTTTCAATAGTTGTTTTCAATGGAGCAGGCTCCTAAACAAAATGTCAGCTGGCTCCTGGATTCAATATTAATTTGTCTACCCCTGCCCCACGTCATTGTTGTAACTTAAATATTGTTCACTAAAGCCCAGTTTGATTGAAAAAGAATACTATAAACATCTCCTTACATTCCATTCTAGAGAATCTGAGGTGCCTTAAGGCTTGGAAAGTAGACCATAAGGGCCTATTTACATACCGCGCTAATGTGCATTGCGTGCCTATTCAATTGCATGGTCTAACAACAACAACAAAAATGGTGCATGTAGAATTTTTGGCCAAACAAGACACAGGTCCGTAAGCAAGATGGACTGCAATGCTGTTCATGACGAATGGTGTTACCGCAGCACAATGGGCCCTAACCGAACTGCCTCCTGTGTCTGTATAGGGAGTGAACAAAAGCAGGAGTCTGCTGGTAGCTACAATTTATAACATGCAATAACCCAGAGGTGCAAATACCTTTGGGCTTATTCAGAAAAATATGCTATTTACATGGATGCTGGCTTCCTATCGCCCAGCGCCCAGGACACGCAGTTCCGGACGCCATGCAAGTATTTTTTTCTTTTTTCCTTCTACATTTAACGCGGGCAAAAAGTAGAAAAGGGGAGCAGGCGCTCGTTTTGTACAAGTGATCTGGGCGGCCGTACTGTTACCCCCCCCCCCCACACAAATGAAAGATTTGAGACTTTATGTAAAGTCTGAATTTTTTGCACATTCTTTCAGCTGACAAGCAGATCCTGGAAAACAATTCAAATAACACTGTACTTCTCAAACGCAAAAAGAAATATGCATTTCTGCCACTAGGGGCGCTGCAGAGGAAAGGCTCCAGTTTAGTTAGCTTGTGGACTCTATCTTGTACTTCCTACAGTTGGGTGATTGTATGATAGTAGATGATAGTTTCTGTCCTGTCCTCACATGCCTTCATTGATAGGCAAGAGGGTACATTTGACAAATTAGTTTATCCCCTTTAAATGATTCCTAATAATATTCTACACAATCACAGTATAATGTTTACCTATAGTCTGCTCAGTAAATGTAGTTTTTTTTCCTCCTCTCAGTAAAATGGTGATACCAAAATTTAGAGTTTGGAAACATGTCCACTTTGCAACTTCTGCTAAGAGCAAAGCTGCAATTTGCAAAAATGTTCTTGCTTGTTTTGTCGCTTTTGAGGGAAAGGGGGTGGTTACCTGTTCTCATGTATAGTTGAAATGTTATCATCATATACAGTCCTTGTTATCACATTTATAATTAAAAAAATAACATTTTAAAAAGCAAGTTTAATTTACTGAATAAGCTGTACTTTTATATACACTGCATTTCGCGTTTCTAGTGTAACAAAATGACTTTCAATTTGTAAAAATATTCCACACTGAATTTTCTTTACATTTGTTTGAAAATTTCCATATATAAAACACTCCCCAAGTATTGTTTATGCTCATCCCGAGTGTTAATTAGGAACGCATCCATCCCTTAACCAGATATGTTGTTGAGTTACAATTTGGACAGAGGGCCTCCTGGAGATAATAAGTCATCAGAGGTTGTGCTTTGTAAATGGCAAAGCTGATATAGTGGGCAGAGACAACACACATAACTGCTTTCTGTAATTCAAGCCTTGCTGATGTCAATGACTGCTTAGAAATAGAGCAGGAACTGAAAACTATGAAAGGCATTCTGTAATGCATCGCAAGCAATGAAAAAAAGTGTAAATCCAGTCTAATGGATTCTTGGAACAAGGTTTGTTCCCCTTAGTTGACTGCTCTTTCCAAGTAGCCTTGGAGCACCACCACCCTTGTATTCTGAAGATCAAAATTAAACCAGAAATGAGACCCTTCAAACTATGGTGCGTGCTGGTGTGCACATACACTCAAGTGTATGGTTACAACGCATCACACTGCTTGATTTTTTAAAATCACCTTTTTAAGTTACATTCATTCAACATCAGTGCGATGTGATAAAGTGTAAGCCCACATCATTTTATTGCAACACACACAGCACTGCAGACTGGGTGTTACAACAAGGCAAAGGTGTGAAACCAACCTCCAGGTCTTTAGTGCAAGTTGCTTATTTACAATTTTGCACACCTTTGATTTTCACTGGCACAATTTAAAAATTTAGATAATTATTCATTCATTCCAGGTTTATATAGTAAAATAAAAGTTTTGATAAACATTTATGAGCTTTAAAAAATTAGTAGCACCACCATTGTATGGTATGGCTTTTGTATGGTACGCACCAACCCCCACAAAAAACAAAACACAGCATTGACAATAAGGGCCCATTCATCTCATGCATTGTGGTAACACACGGTATGCGCATTGTGATTGGCATAACAATGCACCTTTCCAAGGCACCTGAACTGTAGTCCACTAGAGAAAAACTTGCATGATTTTTGCTGTTCTGCCTGAATGCAATTTAGATTAGTGCACAAAATAACCTGAATGTGTTAAGTGTCACTAAACTCAGGAGTTGTAGTACTAAAAAGGCTGGGGGGGAGTTTCTCAAAACTGGAGCAGCTTTGCATGTCAACCAATCCGCTTTTCTCCTCAGTTAGGATGAGAGAGAAGCGGATTGGTTGCCATGCACAGCTGCTCCAAATTTGGTCTGCACCCAGTACTTTTCTAAACCCCCCCACCTGCTTGTATCCTCTGCCACAACCGGGAAGGTACTTCCTGGTTGTGGGGGAGGGTCCTGAGAGCAACCGGCTAGCTGATGGAGGCATCCATTGGAGGGAGGGGGATGACAGCAATGGGATTACATCCACGTGGCAATCGCAGAGAAAAAAAAGCAACTTTTTGGTGACGCAACGTGCGGGTCTTTGAACCACTATCGTGCAAGATTGCACGGGAGGTATCGTGTTGGGAAGCTGTGCAATCTGCATGGGACGCCATTATAAAATAATGGCACCGCCAGCATGATCATCGGTGGTGTGCAATTTCGTGACTGCGTTGCCATCCGCGCAATTTCGTGCATGATTGCTGTGCGGCCACGGATCACCCAGGTGTGAACTGCCTCAACCTTAAAATGCATTCAAGTAGCCCCCCCCTGAATTCAGAGATGATTTAAAGATCTACAGCTGAGTGATACACAAATTACATTTTTGTCAATAGTTGGGGCACTTTTTAAGATTTAACTCCTGAGTTTAGTGTCTTTAACACAACTAAGTGGTGTGCATGAGTCCTAAAAGTGGTTTACTGTACAGCCTAGCTTCTATCTATATTTACTATTTATCTTTTCAAAGTTTAAAACTAGCAGTTTAGCACAGGGCAGAAGAAGACTAATACTACGAAGAAAACAATGGAAAAAAATCCCCAAGCTCCCATTATGATTTTGCACACATTCATACAGCGTGCACTCCCATTATTTGTTAGTGGCACCCTAAGGGCTTCTTCACACCACGTCCAGACCAGATCTGCAAATGCAGTGCATTTTTGCCGCTTTTTTTTTACGCTTAAGGGCCCGTTCAGAGCAGTTGCCTTGCGTTACACCCCGATACTGGACAGAACGCATTGCAAACGTCTCACTTTTTAGTGGGGCAGGAGGGGGCGTTGTGGGCCATTCAAGTGGATGGCGCCGTAGCCGCGCCCTCTGGCCGCAATGCAAATCGCTCGCACAGGATCGCAAGGCACTATGCCTGCGGTCTGATCAAAATAGTGCTTGCAGCATTTTGATCGCACCACATGCACAATGTGCCTAACCGTTAAATGGGCTTTCAGGTGCAGTCCAGTGAGTTTACATGCAGTACACTGCGTTCCGGACCAGAGAAATGAGACCAGCAGTATTTTGTCTGGTGTGGACAGGGCTCATAGGGATGCTTTTTTTGGCCAGGGAACAAACTGTTCTGGTCTGGAAATTGTGTGAACATTGGCGCTGCATAATTTAAATTTTATTGTGTGAACAAGGCCTAAACAGAAAGCAAGCGCGCGTCTACACGTCAAAAAGAAACATGCATAGCTTGCAACTAGAACTTTGTCACACAATAGGACAGTCCAATGAAACAAATGTGTTCCCCTGTGCTGATACGTTCCCATACACGGGTAGTGTAAACAGGGGCTAGCTCAGGCTCCATTCCCACAGGAGTGGTTGTAAACGAGTATGCAGGCGTACGAACCCGCTCTAACATGCGGAAAAAAAATTGCACTTTAAGGTGCATTACTCAGACTTTTGCAGTGGCCGCACAGTACGAAACCGCACATTCCGCAAAACAGTACAAGTGCAATTTCATGGAGGGTTCCGTAAGTTCCAGCTACAGTAATAGCAGCAAACGTGCGGAATTCGTATACGTGCTAAAGTTTGCACCGTTTCGTTCTGCGCGGAAAACACTACCACTATGCATGAATGGAGCCTAACTAGCTTAGCGTGTCTAGTGTAGGCCACAGGAAATAAAGGTCTCTGCTTGCTATGGTAAAGGTTAACACTTCCTGGGTCACACATGGCACCAGGCGGCTCCAAGTGCATAGGCCATCCGCTGCATACAAACAATTTCACAATCAGGCACGCGCGGCATCGACGTGAAGAGCACGTGGTAAAACACGGAATGGGAACAAATGTAAAGGAAAATGCACAATAAATTGCGATCCCGGGAATTATCCCGTTGTATTGTTACGATCAGGAAGTACTGACCGGGCCATTTAGATGGCTTTCCCGCCTCTGGTTAGCCTGGGGTTAAAGGAATGCTAGATTTAAAAAAATGAACTCGAAGAATGGGATTTGTTTTCCCAACCCGAGCAACTGTGTTTAGGACGTACAGGCCAGGCCGCATCACGAGCTGATGAAACGTGACAAGATTGTACACACACCGAGACACAAACAACGGACTAATACATGAGAAGCGCTCATGAGGTGGACCTTTAGTATGTGTCGCAGACGTTCAAGCCTTACTAGGCGGCCATTTTCCCATACTGCCGGCGCCGTCCACTTACCTCTTTTCTTCAGCTTAATAACCAATACTGCCGTAAATGCGTGACTTGGCGACAACGACAACGCTAAGGGATACGAGGGGGATAAATAAACCGGGGAATAGCGACTAAGGGAAGACGACTGGCGATCCGTCTCTGGCACAAAATGGCGGCGAATGAAAGTTTTCACTGCGCAGCTCTGCAAGAGATAGACGTAATCCGAGGCGAAAGATTATTCGAATGCCGACTGGACGACAGAGCTACCAATTACAACCTGGTGGGAAGAGCCGAGCCAATGAGAGGCAAAAGGCGGGGATAAATGGAAAATCGTCTCCTTGGAAATAAGGGCAACCAATGAGAACAAAGGATGGGGACCGGCTTTTCTTTGCCACCTTCAGACGCCGAGGTGACGTAAGAGGGGGAGGGGGTGTGCGTTACTATGGAGAAGGCAGAGTAGGGCGTAGTAACCTGATTGGCAGGTACCTTACTGAGTGATTTCAGCGGGCTTCGGAGTAACCTATTATGTGTATGCGGAACGCGGGATTACGTCTCTGGCTGCATGCAGTAGATTGTCGGTTTAAAACACATAGGGGGAATTTATCAAAACTGGACGGACAAAATCTGAAACAGTTGCCGATATTAACCAATCGGCTTCTCTCTTGAATTAAAGTAGAATTAAACTCTTCTTTGTTCTTGCATATCTCTACTGCTAGCAAACACTAAATATATGCAAAAGAAAAGTTAACAAAAAGGTAATTACTGTACTTACCTCTGTCTCCACCGCTTGCTCCCGTCTGAGGATATGATGCTTCTTGAGCAACTGTGCAGGATGATGGGGCGGGCGCATGCGAGGTAGAGACAGGCCCGGCGCTACCGCAAGGGCGCTGCAGGGTGAGGGTGGAAAAAACAGGGCATTTTGACAAGTACTTGTACTTGTCAAAATGCCCCGATGTTTGCGCTATATTTTTTTTTCCACTTACCTTCGGTGCGGGAGAGCAGCGGCGAGTCAGCGCTGGTCCGGTGAGAGGAGCTCCAGGTGGGGTCCTAATTTAGCTGGCCGGCGACTGCCTGAGGATCTCGACACGCGTGGCACCTCTGGCAGTCGCCGGCCAGCTAAATTAGGACCCCACCTGGAGCTCCTCCCACTGGACCAGCGCTGACTCGCCGCTGCTCTCCGGCGCCGAAGGTAAGTGAAAAAAAAAAACATAACGCAAACATCGGGGCATTTTGACAAGTACTTGTCAAAATGCCCTGTTTTTACAGGGTGTCGGGGAGGGGAGAGCGGGGATGGGAGGGCGCAAAACTGCACCTTGCCTGCGTAGGCAGGAAACCTAGCACCGGCCCTGGGTAGAGATCTTCGGCAGGGAGAAGAGACACAGTGTAGGTGAATGCACGCAGCCAGGAGTGTGCACGTCGGACAGACACCATGGGACATGAGGAGTCTGCGCTGGATCAGAGACCGGCGCCGGAGGGATTGCTGAATACAACTGGAAGGGAGAAGATGATGGGGGTCAAGAGGCATCATGTAAGGTAAGCCCTTAAAGCAGCATGAGGGGGAGCAGTGGTGTCACACGGGATGTGTCACCCCCTCTAAATAGTCGGACATGGACAGTGTCAGGAGAGAGGAGGGGACCCATACCTCATCCCGCCCGGTAAATGTCCCCTCCTCTCTCTGCCGGCGTCCATCACCAAGATGGTTGATTGATGAGCCTGATGACGGGGACCCAACGTGGCCCCGAAAGTACTTGTGATTTTGAATGACCGTTGTCATTAAAATATATTGAATCTACTTTTGGAGTGCTGGTGACATCTTTTGGAATCATCACCAAGATGGACGACGGCAGGCATCAATTGGATAGTTGCGCATGCGCGATGACTACACTGCGGGGTGTCACCCGGTCTAGAGACCGGGTGACACCCGACCTCGGGGCGCCCCTGAGGGGGAGGAAACAATTTGTGACTTTAATGCCACTTTAAGCTTTAAAAAATGAAAGACAGAAGCCGATTGGTTGCCACGCACAGCTGCTCAGATTTTGTCTGCTCCAATTTTGATACAATCCCCTCGTAGTTGTCTATCCGAGCATGGCTGCAGCATACATTTCCATTTTTTTAGTCTAAGGAGCGTTTCAGGGCTAATTTAGGCCCGTGTCACATGAGGAATTTTGTAGGCGCAATTTGTGGCTATACACCAGTAGAATCTTGTTGGAAAAAATAGTTTTCTTATAGTGAGGTCAAATTGATGCTACTATATGAATTTTCCTTGGGGAAACTTCATTCATACTAGGGATGCACCGATACCAAGTATTTGGGTGAGTACTCGTCCAAATGCTCCGATGCCTAGCACGATTACTTCCAGTATCAGGAAGCCGGGCAGCGCGTCATTACACGCTGCCCGGTTTCCTGATTGGCCAGGAAGCGGCTCTATGCTCTCTCGTCACTTGTAATGAGAGAGCATAGAGCCGACTTCACGGCCAATGAGGAAGCCAGGCGCCATGTAATGATGCAGCGCCCGGCATTCTGATTGGCCGGGAAGCTGGCTTCATGCTCCCTCGTCATCTCACGACGAGGGAGCATGGAGCCGGCCAATCAGAAAGCAGGGGGCCGCCCGGCTTCCTGATTGGACGGCTCCGGCTGGGTACCTGAGTGTCACGTCTGCAGTTTTTACAATAGTGGATCTCAACTGCGGAGTAATAGGATCAATCAGATACGAATCTCAGGCGTCACTCACAATCTCAACGGTGAGTTTGAGATTCTACCATCACGTGATCAAAGGAAAAACAACACAATTCAACACAGTACTATTGCTTCATAGACTGTGGGTTGGTAATTGAAACACTAGAATGCAGTGGCTGCGGCAGGGTTAAGAGCGGATACTCAGTAAGTCTAACACACAGTTCATATCAGCCTGCAGGCAAGCAGAGGAGAGGTGCTCTCTCACAGATAGGGTACTTGCGATTGGCAGTAGCTGAGTGATGGCTGAGACTCCCAGGTGACTCCAGTAGCAGAACTGAGCAGGTCCGTCTTCCAAATGGCAGCAGGGGGATGAGCAGGGTCCGGTTGGTAACAGTCCCATACACAGGTTCGTGAGGCAGCAGGCGTTCAGACAACAATCACAGAACGCCATGCTGCCTCATCAGTGCCCTTAAATAGAGCCAGGAAGTGAGGAGGGATCGCTGATTGGTCCGGACGACTTCCGCGTTCCACCGTGAAACGCAGCCGCCGCGTCACAACCCGGAGTTCGTGCGTCTTCCGCGTTCCACGGTGGGGCGCAGAGGACCGCGGCAGACAAACAAGAGGCCGCCCCGTCGGCGGCATTACACTGAGTCAGGCCGTGTTCTGGCTGGAGAGGCCCCGGGGGTGACATGCTGAGGTGAGAGGGGACAGACTTGATTGTTAATCGGGAAGCCGGGTGGCGAGTCTTTACACGCCACCTGGTTTCCTGAACGGGACTTAGGTTACTCGGTAATTGGTATCGGCAAGTACGGAAAAAAAATTATCGGTACTCGTACTCGGTACCAAAATACCGGTGTCGGTGCATCACTAATTCATACCATGTTCTAACCAAGCAAAATTATGAACGACATTCGCCAAGTCTCTGATGGCATTGTGGAATGTTGTGATGAGCTTTTTCGTATGAACGTTTGTATGAAAATCTACCAGAACATGGCCAGCTTTGGGCCCATGTCTAATAGTGATATAAATCACAGAGGAGAGCATAATTACCTAGAAAGATGACACCCTCTCACCTGCCTCTCCCCCCTCCCTCTTATACAATACCTGGCAGAGATCATCATCGCTTCTGCACTTGCGCAGGGAATCCAGAGCACGGACAGACACCCTGCTAATATATCTATGGCAGAGTCCCGAGGATACAGACATGCCCAGGTCTATGGCAGAGACCTGAGGATACAGACATGCCCAGGTCTATGACCTGGCAGAGACCCGAGGATACAGACATGCCCAGGTCTATGACCTGGCAGAGACCCGAGGATACAGACATGCCCAGGTCTATGACCTGGCAGAGACCCAAGGATACAGACATGCCCAGGTCTATGACCTGGCAGAGACCCGAGGATACAGACTTGCCCAGGTCTAAGACCTGGCAGAGACCCGAGGATACAGACATGCCCACGTCTATGGGATCTAGCAGAGACCTGAGTCGTGTCTGTGCATGCTCTGGATCTTGATTCAAGATCGCGGAGTGGAAGTGGAACTTGCCTGCTTGGAAGACTACACTGGAATAGTATTTTTTGTTTTCTTACAAGGACAAGTGTTCGGGATTTACATTTCATTTTGGCTAGGTAGGGTTACCTTCCTCTGTAGGCTCCTTTTACACCTAGGCGTTTTGTCTTAAAGTGACATTAATCCGTTACCCTAAGGAGAACTATGGGGAAAAACACTGACCCCATAGTTCTCCTTTTAAAGTCTAACTCCCCCCCCCATGTTAGTGTAAGGACTTACCTTAAATGATACCTCTAGATTCGATCATCTTCTTCTTTCCAGTAGATTTCAGAAGTCCCTCCAGCGCTGGTGCCGGTCTCTGATCCAGCACTGAACGCTGTGTCTTCTGTGTCACACGGCGTCTGTGTGGGTGCACGCTGCTGGGCTACCTGCATTGACTTACCCTATGTCTCTTCTCTTCCGGCCGAAGGTCTCTACTACGCATGCGCCCGACCCCATGATCCGTTGCGGCAGTTCTAGAACCTTCAGAACTTCAGACGGGAGCGTGCCGCTGCGACACAGGTAAGTTTTAATCTTTTTGGTAACATTTTTTTAACATGTTTTTGCATATACAGTAATACCTTGGTTTACAAGTAACTTGGTTTGAGAGCGTTTTGCAAGACAAGCAAACATTTCTGAAAAATGTTGCCTTGATATACAAGCAATGTCTTGCAATAAGAGCACAATTTTGTAGAAAAGCACCACCCGAATAAGGCTGTAGTAGTGCTAGTGATGAGTCTGTTTAACGACAATGCAATGTCACATTGGATAGATTCCTTGTTAAGGTTTCACGAAATGAAAAAGATTCCATTGAGTCAAGAGATATCAGTGATTCCTTTAGTGATAGTGAAAGTCGTCCTACACAATAATCCTCCTCTCTCTTGTCCCCCTCACACCGGCCACGAAGGTACCGCTAATTGGTTTATTTTTCTTTATATTTTGTAATCATTTTTATATGAATATTTTTGGGTTGTGGAACAAAGCATCTGAATTTCC